CAGGGGGGGGGGGGGAGGGGGGGGAGGAAGAGGCAGGGGGGGGGGGGGGGCGCCGGGGGCCCCGGGGAGAGGGGCCGCCTTGAACGGCTGGAGCAGCAGCCTGAGCCTCACTGCGGACGAGTGGAAGAAGGCGGGCTCAGTGGTCTGTGAGGCCAAGCAGGGCTCCCAGGGGCCTGTCACTCAAATGCTGAAGAGGACCGACTGTTCAGAGTAGATGAGCTCACTGATGAGATTACTGTGTTTTTTACTGTGCTGTGCTACACTCTTCCATAAACTATTTTTTAATGCAGAAACTAAGAGTTTTACTAGCATCCTTTTCATTCATAATTTTGCTTCTGTTTTTAATTAGATTGCACCCATGTTATGTTTCCTGTTGTGCTCAAGTGATGAATTAAATGCATTTAAGAATAATTAAAACACTTCCAGAAAAGCACACCTGTTCTTTGCCTCATTTACAAAAGTTTTATTCTTCATTTATGTAGTATGAAGTATATTTATAAAAGATGATTTTTATGTAAAGGGACCACAGAGGACACCCAATGTGAGAGGGGGACATGCTGGTCTTGGGAGGTTCAGTCAGGTGACTAGTTTGGTGACTCTTTCCATCCACCTGCCCCTTATTCCCTCTAATGCAGACCTGGTCAAATGCCACCCTGTAATGTAATGTCACATGAATAATCACAAACACAACTGCTACTAATATACCAGCACACAAAAAGCCTCTGTAAGTCATCTATTATAACATTAATGGGACATGAAAATAATTATGACAGAATGGCTTTTGCTGACACTTGAATCCCCCCCCCCCAACCCTCGAAAATAACTGGCTGTCCTGCAGTACTGTGTTTAAACTGCTGTGTTCTGCTTCTGGCCTTCCTGTTTAGTGAGCCAGATGAAGCCTCAGGCCTCACAGTTCCGAAAGTCCTCGCTGCCTATGCTGATTGGCTGTGATCTGAGTCACTGCTAAGTCACAAAAAGTAGTGAAGTGCAACATTTAATAATTTATATGGCTTATACATATTTCAAAAATGTATAAAATCATTTGGTTTTTAGGAAATGATTATTTTTATTTTAGGGCCCTTTAAATCCTATTATACCTATTTTCACAATTCCATTATATTATATTATATTATATTATATTATATTATATTATAGAATTCGAGGTGGATGCTACTGGAGTATTGCACTGTAACCGTGCTGAACCGATAGCCATCTTCATGCTGCCTGCTGAGGTCTCACTTTCCTCATGGGGGCTGATCATTTGCATACCAGTCCATGCAAATTTTAGTTTCACCCCCCTAACGGCTCACGATGCAGTTTTAGGGTTTAAAATAAGCTGGGACAGCTGTGTGGGGGCGGCACTGGTCTCAGTTCTGTTTCGCAGTGATGAAAAGGGGAAACGTACCCGACAGCATTTAAAACCAGCCTTCCTGTGCTTTCGTTTCTATTCTGCCCTGCACACCCATACCAGTGTATAATGACAGTTACAGTATCAGAATAATACTAGAATATAATATCAGTGTACAGAATCAGTATAATACCTGAATATCAGTTATAATATCATAATAATTTATGTATAATATCAGTTACATCATTATAGTACCAGTATAAATTTAAAAATGAAATGACGTTTCATTTGCCATTCGTGCGAGTGCATTATAATTTATCCAGTGTCCCTGATGTACTTTGGGGGGGGTAAAGATCTTGCTCAAGGGTCCAGCTGAGATTCTGCTGAGACTCAAACGGCTGAACTCAGATACAGAGGCGTAACCCACTCAGCCACACAACACCTGCAGCATTAACCTCAGTTACAATATTAGTATAATACCAGCATACAATGTAAAACGCTCTAGAAAATCATGTGTCAGGCCCTTTAAGCACTGGTCGTACTAGCTTGTGAATATGCTATGTAAATGAGTTATAAAAGGATCAGAGTTAGTATCACTGTTGAGCATCACTACTGTAACAGTGTCTTCACACTAAAGGTGGGTTTATTATAATGACAACAAGTCAACAACACTCAGGTTTGCAAAGAGAAATGGGACCTTTTTAATAATTATGCACTGGATATAAAAAGTGTACACACCCCTGTTAAATTGCCAGGCTTTTGTGATGTAAAAACTGAAACCATGATAAATCATTTAAAAACTTTTCCCACCTTTATTGTGACCTATAACCTGTACATTTCAATTGAAAAAAACAAATAAATCTGTTAGGAGGATAAATGTAAAAAATAAAAAACATACAATAAGCTGGTTGCATAAGCGGCCACAGCTTTAAACTAATACATTGTTGAAGCACCTTTTGATTTAATTACAGCGTTCAGCCTTTTTGGGTAGGAGTCTATCAGCATGCCATATCTGGACTTGGCGATATTTGCACACCCATCTGAGGTTCTGAGGGCATCTCCTGTGTACAGCCCTCTTCAGGTCACCCCACAGATTTTCAGTTGGATTTAGCTCTGGGCTCTGATTGAGCCGTTCCAAAGCTTTAATTTTCTTCTGGTAAAGCCATTCTTTTGCTGATTTGGATGTATGCTGGGGGATCATTGTCATGCTTCATCATCAGCTTCCTAGCACACACCTGAAGGTTTCGAGCCAAAATCCACTGGTATTTGAAACTGTACATAATTCCCTCCACCTGGACTAAAGCCTCAGTTCCAGCTGAAGAAAACAACCCCAAAGCAGGATGCTGCCCCCAGCGGACTTCACCGTGGGTGTGGGGCACTTTTGGTGATGCGCAGTGTTTTTGCGTCAAACATACATTTTGGAACTGTGGCTAAAAAGTTCTACCTTGGTTTCATCAGACCATAACACGTTTTCCCACATGCTTTTGGGAGAGGATGGTTTATTTATTTATTTATTTATTTTCAAAATCTAGCCAGGCCTTAATGTGTTTTGTTGTAAGAAAACAGTTCCATTTTGCCACCCTACCCCATAGTCCAGATGCTCCTTCAGTGTTGCTGTAGGCCTCTTGGCAGCCTCACTGACCAGATTTCGTCTTGGGGACGTCCAGTTCTTGGTAAGGTCACTGGTCCCATATTTTCTGCACTTCTTCCAAAAGTTCAGAAATCCAAAAACATGTAGTTAGCTGAACTGGTGTCTCTAAATTGCTCTTAGTGAGTGTCTGTGCACTGCTATGGAGTGACATTTTCCAGGGATCCCGGCCACATGTCCTGTATTTCCTGGTACAGGCTCCCGGTTCACTTCAACCCTGCACTGGAGACATGGTTATGAATTAATGAATTAACCTACATCTTAGTAAGAGCACCGACAGCCATTATCACAAATGTCCTTAAACCAAAAAAACAAATTAAAACCATCGTTTGAGAGAAACTGGCTGCTCCTGGAAAGTGCTTTGAAGGAAACATGCAATTTAATAGACAGTAAATGACAATGCTGTGTATAGATTCACTGGCAGCTGAGTGTACATTAACAATATACAGTACATCCATCGACAGGAATATTCAATTTCAATTCAGTTTGATTTATTTTTATATAGCGCCTTTCACAACAAAGTTGTCCCAAAGCGCTTTACAGGGTTGTGTTGTAATACATACAACACAAGTAGAGGGAGATACAGAATGGGAAAGAAGGAAGGAAAGAAATTGAATAAAGAAAGAAGAAAGACAGAAGACAACGGAGCAGAGGAGAAAAAACACCTCTGGGGTACATACAACACAAGTAGAGGGTGCAGTGATTAAGAGTGATATCTAAGGGATATCTAATAATGATTATATGGTGCAGCATGTCAGTATCAATTCTTTTTCTAATTAAGAATTTGATGATTATTTCCCTAATGGAATAATTTATAACTGCATGTGGTATCATCTTTGCCTGCAATGTATTACCTTTTGGTTCTACGTTTCGAAGAAAACGTTTGTTAAGAGCAAGATGAACTACGAACTTGATTTGACGTTAATTATAATCGTTTGAAAAGTGCGCCATCTAGTGAAAGACATTGTGATCGACAGTTATATGTGATTTATTCCAAGCTTAGCCGTGATCAGAATGCATCAGGGATTGGACTGCATTAACGACTGGCATCCACTGTCCAAGGGATAGAGTGAAATGCGGATAACACACAACTCAATAGTGGAAAAACATTTTTTTTTCCAGTTTAGCTTAGTATTAATTACTGGTTTACTGACTGTAAATTGTACTGATTTACACTTTTGTTTGTACCATATATTTTGAATCTGCATTGTTTTGAAATTTATGTTCTTGGTTGTTTGCATGCAATGATACTGGCAAAAAAATGTACAATACATGTAGGGATACCTGGCAAAGGGAATTCTGATTGTGATTAAACCTAAAATCACGGTGTCCCAGCTTCAAAACAACAATAACAAAAATAACTATTATATTATATTATAATATTATAGTAGATTAACAAACATATATGAAGGACAATCCATTGAACCATTAAATATTCAATTAGAGGAGCAGTCCATGGATGACAATTAAGAAAGTGAGTCTGTAAAGGAAGATGTAACTAATCAGTTTGATCATTCTAGCACACAATTATTATATACACAAAGCTGATACACGTTATGTTACTCTGTATCAATATGTATAATGTTTAAAGAGTTCAATTAACTTCTGTGTATATTGCAAAGATGAATAAAATTGGACAGATAAATCAGTAATAAATATTCAGATTTATAAAAGTATTTTTTCATCATAGAAACTATAGAAGTGACAAATGCTAAAAAGTATGTTGCATAGCACAATAAATTAAAGGATGAAACCATTTCCTAATGAAAATGAACAAATAAAAATAAATAAAATAAATAAATTAACACCCACCATCCAGTACAGGGTCTCAGGGTATAAAAGATCATCAGAATCCAGTAAAGTACTGTAGTCTGGATCTATCTTGAACAATCTGCTGATTTTGGTAGTTGTTTTCCTAGACTAAGCATATGCACAGCTGAGTGAGGTTTTTGTACTGGCCTGTGTCACTGTGTGTACGGAAAGCCATAATACTGCTGACAGTAATAATCTCCTGCATCTTCAGCCTGCACTCCACTGATTTTCAGCCTGAAATTTGTGCCATCACGGCTATCGGAGAAACGGCCTGGAACCCCAGACACCTTGCTACCCACTGAGTAGAAGAGAAGTTTGGGACTTTCTCCAGGTTTCTGCAGATACCAGGCTAAGCTGCTCTGAAATTCAGAGCTGCTGGATTGGCAGTTCAGAGTGACAGTGTCTCCTACAGCGACCAATTCCACTGCTGGACTCTGAGTCAGGATGATTTGAGCCCCGGAGCCTGCAATTAAAGCATGAGAATCACCCTTTTTATGGTAACAAATATCAGTGCACAAGAATAAAGTTTGGTGTAAATGTTTAGAGATTTAAACGATAGCGTAGAAATAAAGGACAATGAGTTAGAATGAGTTCTTAAAGGAGAGACATTGTATCTCTGTCGCACTGAGGACACTCACCTTGAACAGACAGGGCCAGTGTCCAGAGGAACAGTCCCAGTAAAGTCATCGTATCTGCGCACCAGTGACTCTAAACTGACTCGACTGTCCCTCTTTAATCCTCTCTGAAATTCACGCAGCTGCTGTTTAATGCAGTCAGGCAGCACAAACTTGCAAATCTACTTCCTGTTTGTAACCACTCTACCAAGCAGGAAAACTGAGAACACCAGTAGGACTAAAGAGCATCTATTATTGTAGCTATTGAACTATTTACTATCAGTTATTAAAGACATCCATCAATTCATTCATCCATCTGTCCATCCATTCATTTTGTACACCCACTTGCAGACATCCCACCTTAGTCATATTGATTTGGGGAAGGCGGATTAGGAGGTGGTGGTGGATGGGTGTGCTAGCTATGGTTGGGCGGTAATATGGTCATACTGTATACCGCTTTATGTTCATTCAATAAGAGCCCCGCTTACCGTCGCTGAATAACGCAAAGACATATTTCTAGGACACTGTGCATCGTTCGCAAGGGTCAGGGAACTGCTGTGAATTTGCAGAAGAACTTCCAGGAAATGTGGGATATCTGCAGTATTAATCCGGAGCTTATTATTTAATTATATTTAATTCATGCAAAAAATGATCTTTTAAAATATTGCCTGTTTAATTAATGTGAACACTAAGTAGCACTAATCACCTAAGACAGTACAACTCATATTTTTCACACACCAATAAACAAATGCAAACTGTGTGTTCAATTATTAACCTAAATATTGAACTAAATGATTCTAAACAATGCAACTCACTGCAAGTCCTTTTCTACAGTTTTCCAGAATTTAAGATAATATATTCTTCATTGATCCAAGGTGGAAATTCATTTGCATGTAGCACACAAATACAGACACATACTGCAAAAACAAAGTGCAAAGACACCACATGTAGTGTATACAGAATATGGTACCGGGAATAAGTATATAAAAGGTACAGGTCATCTATGCACAATTAATTGAGTAAAAGTCATGGGGCTCTGTGCTTACTGGCATGTGTAATGGGTAGGGATGCGGCTGGCAGGAAGGAGGGAGGCATTGTAGTACCTGGTGTCAGCAGGTAGGAAGGATCCTCAGTAGAGCTTCTTGGCACACTGTGGTGGAATGAGCTGCTGGCCAGGAGAGCGCCCCCTGGAGGGCATGTCCAGAATTGGTCATGATACGCTCCAATTTTTCCAGCATCTGTTTCTCTGTAACTGCCCCCACTGGGTCCAGGGTCAGTCCTGTGATGGAGCTGGTCTCCTGATGGGTTTTGTCAGGTAGCAAAGTGCTGGCCACTGTGGGCGGGTAAGACATCCTCGGCTGCTTCCTACACACATCAAGGACCTGAACTTCTTCAGAAGGTAGAGTCTGTCCAGGTTTTTCTTGTACAGACAGCACCTGTGCACCTGAGAGGGAGCAGGCAGGAGGCACAATCTCTACTCATATATCTCAAAAATGTCTGATGCATATTTCATGTTCCTGATTTTTATATACAGTGGCAACAGGGGTGGCGACATTTCTACTAGCTCTGTAATGCCCCCCCCTTAGATCCAGTCCTGACTGTCATGCTGCACTTTGTATGCCATGTTACTCAACAAGGTTTGTATCAGACTCTGACCTAAAATCCCTTTGGTGTCCCCTAGGTAACAAAGCCCCCACCCTGACGGTCCTGCCCCCCTCCAGTGTGGAGGTGTCCAGCAAGAACACGGCCACTCTGATGTGCCTGGCCAACAAGGGCTTCCCCTCCGACTGGAAGCTGAGCTGGAAGGTGGACGGTAGCAGCAAAGCCGCGGAGACGAGCCGCGGGCTCCTGGAGAAGGACGGCCTGTACAGCTGGAGCAGCAGCCTGAGCCTCACTGCGGACGAGTGGAAGAAGGCGGGCTCAGTGGTCTGTGTGGCCAATCAGGGCTGCCAGGCTGCTGTCACTCAAACGCTGAAGAGGGCCGACTGTTCAGATTAAATGAGCTCAGCGTCACTTGTGATGAGCAGCTGATTACTGTGTTTTTACTGTGCTGTGCTACACTCTTCCATGAACTACTTTTTAATGCATAAAGTATGAGTTTTACTACTATGTTATATTTTGTGTTGTGCTCAAGTGATGAAGTAAATACTTTTAAGAATATTCAAAATATTTGCCTCGTTTATTAGTACACAAAATCCTTATTCTTCAAGTATAAAGTACATTAATTTTAAATAATTGTGTGTGAAGGCACAGACGATTTTATGTAAAGGGGCCGCAGAGGTCTCCCAGTGTGAGTTCCATGTTCCAGGGATCCCGGCCACATGTCCTGTATTTCCTGGTACAGGCTCCCGGTTCACTTCAACCCTGCACTGGAGACATGGTTATGAATTAATGAATTAATCTACATCTTAGTAAGAGCACCGACAGCCATTATCACAAATGTCTTTAAACCACAAAACAAATTAAAACTTAAAACCATCGTTTGAGAGAAACTGGCTGCTCCTGGAAAGTGCATTGAAGGAAACATGCAATTTAATTGATGGTAAATTGATGGTAAATAACAATGCTGTGTATAGATTCACTGGCAGCTGAGTGCACATTAACAATATACAGTATACATGGCGACAAGGATATTTAATTCTGATTACAGTGGTAAACTAATTTTTACAATAAGAAATAAAGTGAAAATGATTAATCCGTTCCCATGAAAAAAAATCCTATTGTTAATGGCATATTATACATTGATGGGGTTGTATAAAATAATGTAAACAATGCTTAATACTAAAATACATAAATACAAAGGCAATTAGATTAAATAAATGAAAAGAGAGTTATGATGCGGGTTGTTCACTGAATGGTAGCACGTTGTGGGCAGTCTTTGTCTCGAGAGGTAAACAAGGGTAGCGCGCGGTGTCCTGACTCATTTTGACCCGTAGAAGTTCTAGCACGCGAGTCATATTCCAAACAAAGGTCGTATACCAAGCAACATTTTTCGCGTCCAAACAGGACGTATACCAACTTGGACTTATTCCAAAGCAGATGTATACCAAAGGTACCACTGTCTAGATGGGTGATTCCTGTTTTGGGCCACATATTCATGTCCTCGTGTTTAACAGGCTCTTATTCTTTTATATAATTAGACAAATCTTTATAACAAATCTATTTTATTATGTGTTTAGGTGTTTTCTATTGCTCTAACAAAGATAAATTACTATTTTTATCTTTTTACATCTATTTAAAGCACCATTTCTCTGGAATATGCGCTCATTTTAGCATGTCCCAGTAAATATAACTATAAAATGATAAAAACCAAAACTTATTCTTTATTATTTTGATAGACTAGGATATACTACCTTTAGAGAAAGAAACAAATCTGGTGAAACTTATTTTGTTTTCTGTAATTATATAATATATTATATGTCCCTGCATTCATTTTCCACCTTGTGAGCCACTAGTTTCTTGGCTCCCTAAAAAGATTACAAATCCATACAGCCATTTTCACGAAGTGACATCATTTGTTTTTGGGGGGAAATTCAACTGGAAGACTAAGGTAAGCTTTAACTGTCACAGGAGGTGGTGGGTCACCTAAAGCCTTCAGGCTCACCTTATGACGCTGTTCCCCCTCGCTTTTTGAAAGAAGTTCTTTCTACTGTAGGCTAATCAATTTGAACCATTATAAAAGGCAGTCTTGCCTCAGGGGTGGTACCTAAAAATTTCAAACATGCAGTTGTGCAGCCACTTCTCAAAAAACCAGGGCTAGATGCAGATTCCCCTGCAAACTTTAGACCAATATCCAAGTTGCCTTTCTTATCTAAAGTTCTGGAAAAAATAGTATATAATCAGATAATTTCACACCTGAATGCACACAATGTCCAGGAGATTTTTCAATCTGGTTTTAAAGCAATGCACAGCACTGAATCAGCACTTTTAAGAGTTTTTAATGGTATTCTTTTATCATGTGACTCCGGTGACAGTGTGGTTCTTATTTTACTCGATTTAAGTGCTACATTTGATACTGTCGACCATGAGATTTTAATCTCGCGTTTGGAACATTGTTTTGGCATAACAGGTGTGGCTTTGAAATGGTTTAGGTCTTACTTAAAAGATCGAACCTTTTCGGTTCGTCTAGGTAATTGTGAGTCCTCCTGCGCTCCACTGTCTCGTGGAGTCCCACAGGGTTCCATCTTGGGCCCAATTTTGTTCTCTCTTAATCTGCTCCCCCTGGGCTCAATCCTCAGGAGACATGGTGTCTCCTTTCACTGTTACGCAGATGACTGCTAGATCTATGTTCCCCTTAAAAGGAAGGACGGGCTGTCTGTGGACTCTCTGCAAACATGTTTGGAGGACATCAAATCTTGGATGGCGTTAAATTTTCTTTGTTTTAATGTTTCGAAGACTGAGGTGATGGTGTTTGGACCTGGTTCTGCTGGCAATCTCTCTGTCGATTTGAAAACTCTGAAATCATTCTGCAAACCTGAGATTGTAAATTTGGGTTTTAAAATGGATCCTGAATTAAAGCTTGAAAGCCAGATTCGGGCAGTGGTTAGATCTAGCTTCTTTCACCTGAGGCAGCTGGCCAAAATTAAACACTTTCTAGCACGACAGCACTTTGAAACAGTAATCCATGCCTTTGTAACCACTCGGCTGGATTACTGCAATGCACTTTATTTTGGGGTGAGTCAGTCCTCTATTTCTCAACTGCAGCTTGTTCAAAATGTTGCTGCACGTCTTTTAACTGGCACTCGCAAATATGAGCATGTCACCCCGGTTCTAAGTTCTCTTCACTGACTGCCTGTGCATTTTAGGATCCAATTTAAATTTCTTTTATTTGTTTATAAGTGTCTGTCTGATGTTGCCCCTCTGTACCTCTCTGAGCTCCTCCATCCATATACACCTTCTCGGTCTCTCAGGTCGGCTGACCAGCTCCTTCTGAGTGTGCCCAGGACTAGTCAGAAGCTCAGAGGGGATCGGGCCTTTGCGGTGGTAGCACCTAAATTGTGGAATGAGCTGCCTTTATATGTCAGACAAGCATCCTCTACATCTGTTTTTAAATCACTTCTCAAAACACATTTGTTCACTTTGGCCTTTGGTACAGCATGACATGTTGACATTTTTAATTTGTTTTTTTTTTTATTTTATTTTTCATTTTTATTTTATTTTATTTTAAATTTTAATGTATTTTAGATGTGATTTTAAGTTTATTTCTGGCATTTATTCTTATTCTGATACACTTGTAGCACTTTGGTCAACTTCGTTGTGTGAAAAGTGCGTTATAAATAAAGTTGCCATTGCCATTGCCACTCTCTCCTGTATTTTTTCTCAATTTTATATTACACACCCTGTTCCACCCTGTTAGTATATATTATGGGAAATATTTATTGGAAAAAATATTTTTAAAAACATGTTAAAAATAGCTATTTAAATGCTGATCAGCTGTAGAGTGTGTGCTAGCTTAATGTTGCTCACTTACTGTTGTCACGTCCCGCTCCGTCCGCTCCTAATGTGTGCCACGCCCACCTCATTACCTCGTGTTCAATCCTGATTCCGATCGCCTGTGTCCTATTGAGTCTGGTCTGTCTTTCCTATTTAGTCCTCGTCTGAGTCCGTCTCCGGTAGATCCGTCATTGATGTTGCTTTTCGTTCTCCTCCGTCCTGTGTTTTACCCGAATAAACCCCGATTACCATACCTTCTGGCTCCTGCTCTCCTACTTGCCTGCTCGCCCGACCAGCGAACGTGACAGAATGACTAATCTCCCCCACACGCTCAGCGCTACCAGGGAGGATCTC